GTCCAAGAGTCCTATAAAGGCTCCGCACGCGTTGAGCCAGGACCTCGGGCGGGCGCCGCGCTCGGGACCCGCTGCCGGAGCCGCAGTGTCGCGGGCTGAGCCCCGGATCGCGAGGTGTGTCTCTGCGGGCGGCGCGGGGCTGGACTGGACGGGGCGACCTGGGGCAGCCGGCGCTTGGCACGCGCGCAGCCACCCCGCGGCCCTCGGGGGGCGCGCGGACGTGCGGGAACTGCTGTGTAAGTCGCTCTGTCTCCGGCAGGTCCCCGCGGCGCGGCGCGGCGCGGCTCGGGAGGTGGCGAGAGCGCGGCAACATGGCTTCCCCGCCCCACCAGCAGCTGCTGCATCACCACAGCACCGAGGTGAGCTGCGACTCCAGCGGGGACAGCAGCAGCGTGCGGGTCAAGATCCACCCCAAGCAGCTGGCGTCCTGCAGCCGCCCGAAGCACTGCAAATACAGCATCTCGTCCAGCTGCAGCAGCTCGGGGGAGTCCGGGGGCGGGCCCCGCAGGGTGGGCGGCGGCCGCCTGCGCCGGCCCAAGAAGCTGCCGCAGCTGTTCGAGCGAGCCTCGGGCCGCTGGTGGGACCCCAAGTTCGACTCGGTGAACCTCGAGGAGGCGTGCATGGAGCGCTGCTTCCCGCAGACGCGGCGCCGCTTCCGCTACGCGCTCTTCTACCTCTGCGTTGCCTGCCTGCTCTGGAGCGTCTACTTTGCCGTCCACATGCCTGCGCGCCTAGTGGTCCTGGCCGGCCCGGCCCTGTGCTTCCTGGCGGTGTGCGTGGGTTTCTTTCTGTTCACCTTCAGCCGCCTGTACGCCCGCCACTACGTGGGCACGGCGCTGGCTCTCACTCTCCTGGTGTTCGTCCTGACGCTGGCAGTGCAGTTCCAAGCGGTGACGCCCCTGCCAGGCCCCGCTGACGGCGTCAATCACACCCTCACCACCAAGCCCCCCGGACCCTCTGCCCCCTGCTTGTCCCAAGTGGGCAGCTTCTCCATGTGCATCGAAGCGCTCTTTCTGCTCTACACCGTCATGCACTTACCCTTGTATTTGAGCCTTTTCCTGGGAGCAGCCTATTCCATCCTATTCGAGACTTTCGGCCACTATTTCCGGGATACGGACTGCTTCCCACCGCCCCCTGGGGCCCGAGCCCTGCCCTGGGAGCTGCTAAGCCGGGCCCTGCTCCACCTCTGCATCCACGCCATCGGGGTCCACCTGTTCATCATGTCCCAGGTGAGGTCGCGGAGCACCTTCCTCAAGGTGGGCCAGTCCATTATGCACGGGAAGGACCTGGAAGTGGAGAAAGCCCTCAAAGAGAGGATGATCCACTCGGTGATGCCCCGAATTATTGCCGATGACCTGATGAAACAGGGCGATGACGAGAGCGAGAATTCTGTCAAAAGGCACACCACCTCGAGCCCCAAGAACCGAAAGAAGAAGGCCTCCATCCAGAAAGGGCCCATCGCTTTCCGCCCCTTCAAAATGCAGCAGATTGAAGAGGTCAGCATTTTGTTCGCGGACATAGTGGGCTTCACCAAGATGAGTGCCAACAAGTCGGCCCATGCCCTGGTGGGCCTCCTCAATGACCTGTTTGGTCGCTTCGACCGCCTGTGCGAGGAAACCAAGTGCGAGAAAATCAGCACCCTGGGCGACTGTTACTACTGCGTGGCCGGTTGTCCCGAACCCCGGGCTGACCACGCCTACTGCTGCATCGAAATGGGTCTGGGCATGATCAAAGCCATTGAGCAGTTCTGCCAGGAGAAGAAAGAGATGGTGAACATGCGCGTCGGTGTGCACACGGGCACTGTCTTGTGTGGCATCTTGGGCATGAGGAGGTTTAAGTTCGACGTGTGGTCCAACGACGTGAACTTGGCCAACCTCATGGAGCAACTGGGGGTGGCCGGCAAGGTCCATATTTCCGAGGCTACGGCAAAGTACCTAGATGATCGCTACGAAATGGAAGATGGGAAGGTGTTTGAACGCCTGGGCCAGAGCGTGGTGGCTGACCAATTGAAAGGTATGTGTTGTTTCTTGGCCTACTCACCTTCCCCAAGTCTGGTTGGTGTTTTAAGGAATAAAAATAACGCCAGTCTTTTTCCAGCGTCTGTGTCTGGAGGCAGATCCTTTTTCTTGTGGTGCCTTCCCATGGGGTTGTGTCTCAGGGTCACTGTGACTATTTTCTCTCCTGGGGAGGGGGTCCTAGATATCCCAGATTTCCTGCAGACAGTGACCTTGTGATCAGGACTGACCTGGGCGGGGCGGGCAAGGTCAGACTAACTTTGAAAGCCATCAGCTAGCATCTGCTCTTAGCATTTCTAAAATGGGTCTCAGAATTAAGGTCGTTCCATGAATGTCAAGGTATTGGAAAATTAAAAACTGCCTTTGCAGGTCCTTGAGTACCCTCCAGGGCTTCTCTTTTGCAAAAGCATGAAGAATAAAACCTGTGCTCTGTAGTCCTCACTTTCTAGATTGTCAAACTTTTGCTGTTAGGTACCATCATGTCAGTTCTGACTCATAGTGACCCGATGTAGAACAGGACGGAACACTGCCCAGTCCTGGGCCAGCCTCAGAATTGTTGTTTGAGCCCATTGTTGCAGCCACTGTGTCATTTCATCTTGTTGGGGGTTTTCCTCTACTTTACCAAGCATGATGTTCTTCTCCAGGGACCGGTCCCTCCCCATCACATGGCCAAAGTACACGAGTCTCATCAGCCTTCCTTCTAAGGAGCATTCTGGCTGGACCTCTTCCAAGACAGATAGGTTCGTTTCTCTGGCAGTCCATGGTATATTTAATATTCTTCACCAACGCCATCATAAAGGTATCAGTTGTCAAACTAGGGAAAGAAAATCAGCTCTGCCCCCCAGGACTTGGAGAGTTAGATGGGATCGTATACCTCTAAATGCACACTGCCTTTTGGCCAGGTCTCTTTTTGTTAAAATGTTTTTGCACTTTCAGCTTTTCTCTGTTTCACAATGCTTCATTATTCCTGGTCTTTGTCTTCAGCATTTTAGAACTTGAACTTCTCAGATCACCAGATGATTTGAAAGGCAGAAATCCCCCTAGGAGAGTCTCACCCTCCATGCCCAGTCCCCTCAGACTGAAATCTGGCCCTTGCCCCTTCCTCCTTGGTCTTCTTGATGTTCTTACTGGACTGGGGCTTACTGCATTTGACTTTGTTGTTGTTGTTGTTAAGTGCCGTCGAGTCAATGCTGTCGAGTCGATTCCGACCCATAGCGACCCTATACAGGGTTTCCAAGGAGCAGCTGGTGAGCTTGAACTGCGGACCTTGCAGTTCAACCGGCTTTGCAGTTTAGCACATCAACCCACAGCGCCACACCAGGATTTTAGCAGGTTTATATGGGACCAAAACCTTTGAGGTCTGGGAAGGGGTATATAGATAAACAGGACCAAGAATAAGGAATCTAAATGTTGTAGGTGCTGTCTAGTTGGTCCTAACTCATAGTGACTCGGTGTACAACAAAGTGAAACACTGCTGAGTCCTGCACTACCCTCACAGTTATTGCTATGTTTGAGCTCATTGCTGCTGAATAGTCCGCTACAATTCTCATTCCTCCATCTCTTTCTAAAACAGCCCTCATATTGGCCGACAATCTTCTGATTTGAGGGGTGGAAGTGGGGTTAGGATTTTGGAAGTATGTTGAGACGGTAACACTGATTTGTACAAGCCTAAATTTATTCAGATGGGTTGTTATTTTGTGGTGCATGTATGGCGTAATGACATAGTTAAAAGTCCTAGGGAAGGGAGTGCTCAGAAAGAGTTGAAATCGGAGCAGGCGGAGGTAGATGCTTAGCCTGCAGTGAAGCCTGCAGCTGAATCCCTCCTACTGTCTCTCCCTAGTGACTGTAGTTCCCGGGGCTGTTTGCTCTTTTGTTATCTGGCAAGAGTGGTTTCTCCTGCCCTTGAATTTTCTTGACTGTATTGATTGTTTTTAGTTGGTGAAGAATGTGTGGGTGTAGTGGGAAAAGACTTTCAGAGATCATTTCCTTGACCCAAGAAGTTTCAAATACTGTGTTGACCGGATCCAAATGTTTGACAGACACTGCTGTCAGGGGTCTTTCTGTTGAGGGGGTCCAAAGTAAAAGTGGCGTGGGCGTATGGCTGGAACCCCTGGTGACATTTGGCATCTTTGTGACCCGAAGAGGGATTGGCCTTGCCTGCTCAGCGTCAGATCAGGTATGTCAGCCAGAGGAGGACAGCAGCCGTTTCGTAAGTTGGACTTTGGATAGAGTATTTTTCGAATTTCAAATATGAAAGACAGGTGTAATCATTAAGTGCGTTTGGAAATTACCAAGTCAGTGAATCTTTGGAAAGGTCTGTGTTTATCAATTTATAGGTAATTTTACTTTCAATTTTTAGGCCAGATGCCTCTCCGGCTAAAAGTTTGCTACAGTGGATTTGTTGACTTCTTTTTTCTTTTCTTTCATCTTTATTTTTTTAGCCTCAAATAGTATACATTTGGTAAACTAAATATTTATTTGAAGTGGTGTACATTGTACAAAGGGGTTTCAGAAAGTTTATGGAAAATGCAGTGAAAAGATAGTGTCATTTTCCCACAAACTTTTTGAAGTCTCTTTGGGTATTTATAAATGAAAAGATTTTATAAGGCCCTGGATTGGAGGCTTAGCTAACTGGTAATTAAAATTTTAAAAAATGTGGTACTCCCTTCTTTAATTGTTTCCTCAAGACCATGCTTTTTGCTTTATTCAGCTCATTTTGAAAACCTATATGGACAGGGCTCAGTAACAGAGTATATCCACAAATCTTCCTGAGTCTGTTGAACTACAGCGTCAGACTCTCCTGAAGTTGGACAAAGCTGCTAAGTTGAGGTGATAGCATGATTGGTAGAAGACCTTTTGTGTTCCTGGGGCTGAACTTCCTTCTTGTTGTTAAGTGCTGTCGAGTGGATTCCGACTCACAGCGATCCTGTGTAGAGATTCCGAGGAGCAGCTGGTGGGTTAGAACCAGTTGTGTTTGAGCAGCTGCTGTGATTTGAAGTCCAGGGCTCATCCTATAGCACCAAATCAGGTGTCCAACTTCTTTAGATTTATTTTATCCTTGTGTCTTTGGGCTGGTGACAAATAAATTCTCTCTACAATGTTGGGTATCACCTTTTACCTCGTATCACCTTTGCTCATAGTGGGGTTAAAAGGTAACTAGCAGAGAACTCTGGGGAAGTTAATCTCAGTAGAGTAAGCAGAGGATGCTGGAACCAGTCCAGCAGGATAAAAGGAAGCCGTTGTTGTTACTGTTGTATGCTGCTGAGTCTATGCCGACTCTTAGGTACCCCGTGAGACAAAGTAGAACTATCCCATAGGGTTTTCTAGGCTGTAATCTTTGTAGTTTTACTTTAAAGTTTACTTATTTTATTGCTGTTTTAGGAAAACATACACCAATTCCGCGGTTTCTACACGTACAGTTTAGTGACATTGATTCCGTTCTTGGAGTTGTGCTGTAGTTCTCCTCCTCCTTTTCTGAGTATCTCCTTCCTCATTCACATCAACTTACTGCCCCTTAAGGTTCCTAGCTCATCTGCTGAGTTGCTTTTGTCAATTTGATCCCACACAGTTAGTTCTTAAAAGAGCATAATGCTCAGTGCAGACTCTTTTTTATGACTAATTCAGTAAAACTACTGTTTGGTGTTAGGGAGACTTGAGGGGATATTTTTGATTTAAGGTTTAAAGATCTCAAGGCAGTAGTTTCAGAAGTTTATCCAGCTTCCATAGCTCCAGAAAGTCTAGAGTTTGTGAGAATTGGAAAGTTTGCTATGCATTTCCTGCCATTTGATCATGATTCCTCTAAGGAATGTTTGATTAAGAGGGACAGTATTGGTATCTGGGCACCATCCAATTCTTGTCTCATGGCAAAGGGGGAAGTTAGTTCATGGAATTAACCATATAGTCCATGTCCTCTTCCTGACCCTCTTTTTCAGTTGCTCCAGGTGAATAGACACCAATTGTTTTGCCTTGGAAGGCTGCCTACTAGGCTGAAATCTTTAGGTCTTGCTCACACGGAGAGGCAGGTAGAGTCCAACTACCTACCTTTCTGCTCGTAGCCATGCGTTTACTCCTTGTGTCACAAGGCTACTGAAAGGAAGCCTGTCCTGTCTAATTTTCCTGACACGTCTTTGTGGAGCAGTGGGATTTTCCTGTCTCTCTACACATTCACTCACTTGCTGTGTCCCTACTGTGTGACTGCGCTGAAGATGCCAAGAAAGGTGTGTGACTTTTCCAGACCTTAGTGAACTAGCAGTTCTGTCTGAGGGCCCAGGAGTGCTCTCAAGGGCTGCAGACCCTTGAGGGTGGGTCTTGAGAGCAAGCAGCAGTTCTCTATCCCAAAGGATTCCAAGGAAAGCCACTGCCTGTGAGTCAGTTTCGACTCAGAGAGCTAGACATATTTACAGGTGCTGGGGTACAGCGGTAAATGAAACAGACCAGTTCTCCTAGGGGAGTCAGACAAGAAGCAAATAAGTACCACTCCACATTTGTTACTGTGAAGTTCCAAGAGGAAGTCCGAAAGCAGGAATGGTATATGGAGTGTATGCAGTTGTGGGCATGTGAATTTTTAGAAAGTATTGTCACTCAGCAGCACTTAACAACAACTACGATAACAGGAACAACAATGGCCCCTCACTAAGAGAGAAGGTTGAAAGATATTTAGGGCTAGGATTTTGGAAATTATCTTAAAAAAGGTGATATTTTCTTAAAAATGAGGAGAAATGATCTAATTCAGATACTGTCTGTTCTGTTCTCCCTTGGGCCAGAAGCCAAAAAAGGATGAGTATTAGCTAGAACTGCTAGCTTTTCCTAACAGAGATGTGTTGTTGTTGTTAAGTGCCGTCGAGTCAGTTCCAACCTATAGCGACCCTGTATAGGGTTTCTGAGGAGCGGCTGGTGAGCTTGAACTGCTGACCTTGTGATTCAAACCGACTTTGCAGTCCAGGACTCCAGCGTAGATAAAGGACCGGAAAGAAGAAAGTGGAAATGATCAGAAATACC